CCATCCAAGTCTCTCAAATTTAATGAATTCTGAGATCGATGCCTTTTTGAACAGTTGGTAGAGTTCATGGTTGTACCTGTAGCTCCATACTTCGGTTTCGTTAACCGCTCCAAATATCCTCCATAGGACTTTTCGTTCATTCGAACCTCATATCTTATGTTAGTTTGAGTAGTTTGGCGATACTTAATTCTTGTTCTCTAAAAGGAAGAATGATAAGATTCGAAGAATAAGATAAAGTAACAGGTGTATTATTGTTTGAACATGGAAGGGAGTGTTTCGCTGTCGTTTTGTCATGTAAATGTTGTGCAGGTCTGCAGATGCCTTAGTTATTAGCTGATCGCTCGTAACAACGTAGTCTTTCGTTATCAAAAGAAAGAATTAACAAAAAAGTTAATTTGGTTAATTTAAAAATTCTCTTTTAAAAGCAAATTATTGTGTGTAAGTTGAAACATTAAATAATGAAATTAATTTTACAGTTTAAGGTTCATTCCTAAAGATATCTGAAACAATTGATATATTACAAATAAATATTTCTAGAAAAAAATGATTTGCAATAATTTAATAAAAGATTTTATTGCAAGCGTAGGCTACATAATTATTTTTTAATTAAAGAATAGGTGTGCTTGAATAAAAATCGCTGAAAATGTATTCCGTAAAGTCAACAATACTTTTTAAACACCCACTCATTTATGTATTACGAACGGCACGTTCTGGGATTGTTAATTGTTATTCCAAACCCAAACAAATTACATACAATTCGGTTCCATTGTTCCGTTCGTGTTTAAGATTTATGTTAAAATGTCTACACCATCTACTTTATCTCAAATAAATTGCTGTTCAGTAATTGTAATAGTTTATGTAACTATGTAAATTCATTTTAAGATGTCAAGTATTATACACTTTTTGTTTTCGTAAATTTTTTAAAAGAAACTATTAACATAGCTTGTCCCCGTGCTAACTTCATCTTCTTAGTATGCCTCATCCTTTAAGGACGTCAGGGCCTATTTTGCTCTGTCTAGTCATTCTGAACCTCTAAAACAATTTATAGAACAGGCATCATACCAAAGAAATGGCTCTCCTCTACTTTGTTACAATCCCGGAGACGAATAACGCCAGAGATTGTTCAGACCACAGAACTATAGCGTTGATGAGCCACACACTAAAAGTATTTTTAAAAATAATTCACAAAAGAATATTTAATAAATTAGAAGAGGACATAAGCGCCACACAGTTTGGATTCAGAAGTGGACTGGGAACACGGGAAGCTTTGTTTGGTCTGAGTGTGTTAATGCAAAGATGTTTGGATGTAAACCAAGACCTCTACGTAGGTTTCATAGATTTTGAGAAGGTCTTCGATTAAGTCAGTCACCAAAAGCTGTATGAAATCCTAAGAATATCCTATCGTATCGATATTAGAACAACTTAAAGTAAAGGTTAAATTGCTTAAATAAACACAACAGAGATATTTGCAGTATTTTGAACACATTACTAGAAGAACAGGTACGATGGAAAAAACTGATAGTCGAGGGTAGAGTTGAAGAAAAGAGGCCTAGGGGAAGATCTCCAAGCCGTTGGGTGGATCAAACAAAAACATTGATTAACCAAGAGTTACATAAAGCTGAACAACTAGTCCAGGACGGGGAAGGATGGAGGTAAATCGTGAAAAAACTTTAAAGGCCTAATACTGTCACCACATCTCAAAAGAAATTATGACTGAAGAGGAGGAGGATCAGCCATTAAACAAAAAATGTTGATGCATTCGACCGTTACTTAATGTAAATTCATTTCATCTAATAATAGAACACTAAAAACTTTTGTTTTTAAGACTTCCACAAAATTTATTTTAAATTATTATCACTACAGCTGTTTCAAACAGTGGTCCCGAGTGCCCGGCGTCCCTTGAATGGGACAGGGGTGCGAAGAATTCCCGGGCGGAAATACAAAGGATAATAATACTATTTTCTACTCAGGCAAAAGCACTGGAAACACAGCCATGGTATTAATAATTCAAAAGAGTTTATGTCATTAAAAATACTCTTCGATTTTTCAATCATACATGAGGGGATTTCAATATATTACATACACGAGGGGATTTCAATATCTCCTAAAGAATCAATGAATTGAAAATGCTACAATCTGACCTTCCAGTTAAAATTAACATCTTAGTAAATTTTCTTGTAACCATGCCTTTTGTCTTTGTTGGGAAAATTAACTTGTTAAATTTTCTGGCGGTTATATTAAGTTGGTACCGCATTCGTTGAAAGTTATCTTCACTTTGAGATAGTAGTATTGCTTCGTCTGCATAGCAGATTATTTAAAGTTGTTTTACTCCCATTTGGTATTCTGTTTTAGTTCCTACTTTTTTATTATTTCATCCATAATCAGGTTGAACAATAAAAGACTCAGGGAATCTACCTGTCTTATCCCATTGCCAGCTTCGATAGGGTTGGTTAGTTCTTGTTCTACTTTTACTTTTATTGTGTTGCTTTGGTAGATATTTTTGATCGTTTTGATTATTCCTCTTGTATACAGTAAGTGGATAACCCCTTTTAATCTGACCGTATGTGTAATATATTGAAATCGTCTTATATATGTTTGAAAAATCTTTTAATGTATCTTTTGTTCGCATCGTTCAATTTAAAACCCAAATAATATTTCGTTCTTTTCAGCGTCGCCAAGCAATAAAAACCATTTCAGAGTTGTTTATTATTTTAAAGATATTTACTTCGGCAATTTCTTTTAGTGTTTTATTCGAACTTGCATTATAATTTTTATACGTCGCAAATGGAATCTTCTGCGTTGTTTCGTTGTGTTTTGTTATTTTAGCGTTTGTTTTCAATTTATATGAACGAATTTTGAAGTTCGTCATTCATGCTTGGGTCGCCGAGCAGTTCGCTGTGTGGATCGCAAGTATGGATCCCGCCGAATTTGTTGTTTTCTGTTTTTGAAATATGTAGCAGTTAAAAAAAATAATTTGTGTAGTATACCAGAGCATGGTATAATTTTGAAGCCATATATAGGATGTCAAATAAGCTTTGTTGCCGTTTTCCTATTTGATCCAGCCCATCCACGTCAGGTCTTCTTTTGTTCCAGTTTGGAAATTGTTTCCTTTTGTTCCGGTTAGTTTCAGTCCTAGAGAAGTAGCAATTTTCAGAAGTTTAGAAGACAGCCATTTTTTCTGCTAAATTAATGAATATCCGGCAACCCTGTAATTTGTCGGACCGGCACTCATGAAAAATTGGCACGAAACCGTAGATTATCTTCTGTATGAAAAAAATTATTTCAGGTACTTACATATTTGATGCACAAACACTGAATTTAGTTTAATTAACTATTTAATAAAATAAGTTATTCAAAAACTGCTTCTATTTGAGAAGCGCGAGAACAGAACTATCTTGTTTCTATTTGAGAAACTGAAAAAATGAATTGACTTACGTCCTTCTATTTGAGAAGGCAGCAACGAAGTGATATTAAGGGTAGTTGATTTGAATAGATTAATGTAAAATTCTGACAGGCGCAGAAGATACGAAACAGCACGAAGAAGGGATGTCGTGCTGATTGTATAGACTTTAATTTAATTTAGAAGACAATTTAGTGAAATAATAATAATTATTAGAATAATAAATAAACTATTGTAGAAAATGTGAATAATTTTCTACAATTAGTAATTACTTTTATTGTTTTAAAAGATAATTTTTATTTGTAATATTTTTATATTTGCCATAGTTTATACGTCAGTAACATAGAAAATTTTTGTAGCATCTCCTGAATTTGTAAATTGGTAAAAGGCATGTAAGTTTTTTGTATTTTGCGACTATCGTGGTAATATTTTTCTATTTTTTTTTTTTTGAACATTCTTGGTTCTCTATGTTTTGTAACTGTTTGTGGTATGACACAAAAATAAATGTTAAATTTTGTTTTCTTAACATTTTGTTTATTTTTTTGAACTAACCCTTTTTTAGTTTTATTTGAAAAAGATATGATGTTTTATAATTATTTCCCTAGTTACAATTAGTGGTTGCAATAGGCATAATTAGGCACCTTAAGTGGCGCCCTTTATTAAATTCCTTGAGGTGTTTCCTGTTTATTTTTATTTTGTTTATCCCAAGAGACTAATGACCCCTTTATTTCATTTTTTGTAGTTGCCCCAATCCAACCCCCTTTATCTTTTACTTATCCACGACCCCAGCTCTCCGACCAAAACCTGAGTGCCGTTCGCACAAGTAGCGATTATTTTGCTTGCCCTATCTTCACCCCCATAGTTTCAGTCCCCAATTTTATACCCTATAATCTTACCCCGTGTGGTAGGCAAAATATCATCGTTACAACCTAAAACATTGTTGTTCAAGGATTTTAAACCTAGACAACAAAAGTTGTGGTTTTACCGTCACATGCTCAAAACCGCGTGAACAGCACACCTATCTACCGAACGTGTGCTAGAGACCAAGCACAAAGAGCGAGATTTGATTAACATCATCAAAATAAACAAGGTCTAATACTTCGGTCATGTAATAAGATGACCTAAATATCGCTTACTCCGGTTGACCATTTAGGGCAAAATCGAAGGAAAATGCTGGATTGGAAGAAAGAAACTGTCGATCGAGGAATTCTTTGATTTAGCTGCTGATCGAGAAATATTACATCGGGTTGTTAATACGATCTATATATCATAAGAAAATAACATTGAACAAGCTTTACAAGTGCTGAAAAATTAAATACAAATGCAAATCAATATATTATCACAATAAAGAGAAAGATACTTGAATCAAGTCAAAACATCATAAAAAAATTCTCAACCTCTTATTTAACAGAATGAAAAATGTTCCAAACTATCATAATGATCATAATAATACGAACTTTTCACGTCAAGTTAATACCAGTGAATTAATATTAAACCTAATTAGAGAGAAATAAATTCATCTATATGTTCAATATTAGTTTTATTTTTTAGATCCCTCAAGACCAATTGTTTATTAACATTGATAAAATTTTTGTTACAGGCTATGGAAAGTAGGCATGATACATCATGCCTTGAAGGAAAACAAGTGACCGTACCCGGAGGACGTGACAAGGAAGGACGACCCATAATTTTAATCACCATCCCATCAGACTCTCCTCAAATAGATGCCGTTCCGGCACTTCAGTACTTACTTTCTCTGTTCAGGTGGGTACTTATTCGGTCAGAGGCGTACTTTTGTTACAAACCGGTATCCGGTATGTTCAATAAGCTTCTTCAGGTTATCTGAAAAGGTTACTTGAAGGTAATGCCCATAATTTACAGTCAAACGTGAAAAACGTATATGGTATAATGTGTATCTGGTATGTTACTACCAAATAAAGTGGAATCTATTAAGTTAAAAGGACTGTATTTTTAATTAAAATAAAATATGACACATTTTAAAATCTCCATAACTTCATTTTATTAGTTATTTTATACTTAATAGCAGGGGTGCTCAAACTGTCGATCGCGATCGACTGGTCGATCGCGAGTGCTTTTTGGGTAGATCTCGAGAAGAAAAAAAAATTTAATAAGTAGGTAGGTAACTAAACTACTGTCAGCAAAGTTAAACGTTTTTATTAATACTGAACTATACAAATACATAGAATGTTTGACTAAGCATCATTGCAATTCAAAGAAGTGGGGACAACAAAATACTGTCCACACAGCATATTTTATATTTACATATATTAACTAATTATTTTATTAATTCACTATTTATTATAATTTATTAATCAAATTTGGGATGATTATTCTATCAACTACAAAAATGTATTACGTAATAAAATAACACTGCTTGCGGCAAAAGGTGGCTTTATCAAAGGAACGCGCGGCACTTGTCAAAGAAAAGCCGTGTTGTTTCTAGACGAGAGACAGTACAGTCTAGTTTCGGGCGGCGCGTTTGATGGCAACATTCGAGACTTTCGTTCACGCCGATATAAATGTTGCGCCTGCAAGAATTGGAGTTATTCTGAATTGTAACTTGATAGCGATCCTACGTCGATACAAAGTTTATTATTAAATAGTGGAAAATGAGTGCAGTGAAGAAATCTAAAACATATCATTTTAATAAGGATTGGGAGAAAGAATTTTTCTTTTCTATGGTGAAGGATAAGTGCATTTGTGTTATTTGTCGTGCGTCAGTTGCAATACCTAAGCGTGGTAACTTAGAGAAGCATCATAAAACGGTTCATAAAAACTATGAAAATGATTTTCCGCAACAGAGTGAATTAAGAAAACGAAAAGTAAGTGATTTAATATCTTGTTTGAAAAAAGAACAATCCATGTTCACAAGACCAGCCAAACAATCAAATGCTGCTATGATCGCGTCATTTAAAATATCTCATAATTTGGCGAAACACAAGAAACCATTTGAAGATGGATCGGTGGTGAAGGAAGCATTTATTGAAGCGGGGTGAGACTTTATTTGGAGATTTTAAAAATAAAACAGAAATCATGTCTGCTATTAGAGAACTTCAGTTATCTCGTCCGACTGTCACAAGGCGTATTGAAGTCATAAGTCAAGACATCGCAGATAAACTAAAACATGATATCATGGAACGTACATACTTTTCTTTACAGTTCGACGAATCCATCGATATGACAGACACTGCCCAGCTGTGTATTTTTAATCGGATGGTATTTAATGACATGTTGGCTAAGGAAGAATTTTTGACAATCATTCCTCTGAAGGGGAAGACCCGTGGCGAAGATATATATGACATTTTCTTAAATTTTGTAAAAAACTACGAGCTACCAATATATAAATTAATGTGCATTACAACCGATGGAGCACCAGCAATGACTGGAAATAAAAATGGTTTTGTGGCATTGTGTCGAGCTAATGAAGAATTCCCTTCATTTTTTTCATTCCATTGCATTATACATCAACAAGTTTTGTGTTTAGAAGTTTTAAACACGGAGGAAATTATGGGAATTGCAACAAAAATTGTGAATTCCATCCGTGCACGTAGCTTGCAACGGCGGCGCTTCAGTTGCAGTTGGAAGATAGGGAGTCAGCTGAACACACTGATTTAGTTCTTCACACGGACGTCAGGTGGTTGAGTCGCGGAAAATTCCTAGAAAGGTTTCAAGAATTATTGCCCGAAATAACAGCTTTTCTAGACGAAAGAGGTGATGACACTCAGATTTTGAAAAACGAAAAATGGCTAAATGATTTGGCATTTTTGACTGACATCACAATGCACTTAAACACCGTTAACTTGGAGCTTCAAGGTAAAGGAAAAAGTATTATTGAGAAGATTAGCGCAGTAAACGCATTCAAAAGTAAATTGCAACTTATGATAGATCAACTGAAAAGAAAGGATCTGAAACATTTTCCGTCTTTGAAAGCAAGGATTCCTCAGTTGAATTATAAGATGAGACTGAATTATCAAATATTTTGGGATAATTCGAAATACGTTTTTATGATTGCAGTAAATTGGAAAATATAGCATCATTTATGAGTTATCCTTTTTCATATAAAAACATTGAGGAATTAGCTACTGAAATAACAAGTCAGTTTAATATGAACTCATGTTTTGTTGAAAATGAGTTGGTGCAGATTATATCAGATATACATCTCAAAGCTACAGTACATGATACAAATTTCTGGCGTTTTATATCTGAAGATAAATATCCGAATGTAAGGCAAATCGCCCTTCAACTGACGGCATTTTTTTGGGTCAACTTACTTGTGCGAGTCTGCATTTTCTGAAATAAAGATAATTAAGTCAAAATATCGCAATCGACTAACTGACGATCATATGACATCATGCTTGCGATTAGCACTCAGTGATACGTACCATCTTATGAAAAGTATGCTGAAGACATGCAGTGCCACGCTTCAACATCCAAAGCCACTCCTTAGTTAAGTTTAACACCATATGTAACTCTTTTGTTTTGTAACAACAAATAAACTCGCAATTTTAAATAACTATGAGTTTTTTCTTTGATATTGTAGACAAGAACCTAACTAAACCTAACCCAAACCTTGACTAAAATAATGTACCTATATTGTGCAGAAAGCTAATATCTATATATGCTACGGTACGCCCTACCTAGGTAGGTAGGGTGTATCGTGTATGTACGACAACCCTGCATCACGCACACTTGCAGTCTCTCAGAGTCGATCGTAAGTAGTCTAAAAATATTGAGGTAGATCGCCAGCAGTTCAAGTTTGAGCACCCCTGTTTTATAGCTTAGGGCCAAAGACTCTAAAAATGGTAAAAGGTGAAAAAAAAATAGTAACAAGTAAAGACAACAATAGTAATAACAACAAAAATTTAACTAGTCGACTTCAAATTTGGAGCTTTTAATAATATTCATTCAGACTTGTATAATCAAACTAAACAAAAAATTAAGATAAATGATTTTTAAAAGAACCATTCTAAAACTTCCTCTAAAAAACCTGTTAAATATTACTTTTAACACCTCAGTACCATTAACCAACAACGGTTATACTAGTCAGAACCTGTAAGAGTTTGGTTTTTTTTAACGAAGAGAAACTTCCAGCAACTAGAATTCGTGATTATAAACAGATGCCGATGGGCATAATTAAGTTTCTTTTATCAGCAGGAGATCTTCAATTCAAAGTTCAAGTTTAATTTTGCCGCTCTCCTGCACCTGCCGCTCGCGCCAAATGTCAACAAAAGTGACGAAATGTCATTAAAATACCTTCGTGTCAAGTAAGAAAATTGAATAAATTGTTTCATTGGTATAAATACAGGTTGTGAGATACTTTGTTGTAAAGATCATCTTTACAAGTATGAGAATAAAATACTTTCATTTCTTCTACATTTCTTTCAACACATCTACAGTATTGTGCGAATTAATGGAATCATAGGCTGTTTTAATGAAAAAACAGTTTATTTAGTAAAAAATTATATTTTGACAAAACTATAAAGGTAAACTTACATCATTCAGTAGAAAATATGTCCCCCTTTGGCAGCAATTACTGCTTTTACCCGTTTTGGCATAGATTCTATGAGTTTCTGGCAGTTGTTAGATATACTTTCATCTCGATACCAAACCTAAATGGCCGCTTCTATCAATTTTGTTTTAGTGGTACAGTCGATTTTTCGCAGTCCAGCTTTGCAAATGGCCCATAAATTTTCAATGGGGTTGACGTCGGGCGAATTACCGGGCCAATCTAAAACATTATTCTTCTTATTTTTGAAAAATGCCATTATTTCCTTTGATTTGTGACAGGGAGCAGAGTCCTGTTGAAGAATCGCTCCTCCTTGGGGTTGACATTTTTGGAGTTGTTTGTCCAAATACTTTTCCAACATGGATTTGTATTTTTGGCTGTTCATCATGCCTTCAATTGGCACCAAAGATCCAACCCCCATGTATGAAAAACATCCCCAAAACATTTTCTTGTGAATATTGAAAAAATGAACAAAAATTCACAGTGATTCCATTAATTCGCACAATACTGTATAAACAGTTTCTGTTGTCAAATAAAGAATGTTGCTAATTTTTAACCAACATGGAAAAATTAAAAAAATGTGCATTCAGTGATTTGTAGGTTAATAGATAGACCAGAAAAATTAGCAAATAAAAAGCCTTTTTCGTGATACTCTTTGATATATGTACTAATCAAAATATATAATAATCAAAACATGCAAAACGTCATTTTTACCTTACAAACAATATATAAATAAATTACTATTTAAATGGGAATAAGCCACAATTACCGGTTAAGTAAGTTTATTGACGTTTCAATTTCCATTTCAGAAATCGTTCTCAAAATACAAACATTCGTAAATTAAACAAATTTTGTTTTTTTGTTACTTGGTGAAAAATTCTTCTAATGATTTAATTTTATCTGATTCATTTATATTGACAATTCAGACATACAATATATATTTTAAAGTAGACGACTTTAAAATTATATGGCCAATGTTGTTGAGTTGCGTTCCTGGAACGACGATCTCATTACTAGAATTCTGTTCTTGGCGGCGTGACACAGCTCACCTGTATTGTGTATTTCTGTCCATTCTTTAATATTCCTTAACCAGGACAATTGTTTGCGGCCGGCTCCTCTCCTACCTTCGATCTTCCCTTGTAGGATTAACTGTGGTATTTCATAGTTTGCTCCTCTCAATAGGTGCCCAAGGTAACCGATCTTGCGTTTTTTAATTAATTCAAAGAGTTCTCTTTCCACGCCGGCTCTATTAAGGACGTCATCGTTTCGAACTCTATCCACCCAAGGTATGCGCATCATTCTTCTCAATGACCACATTTCAAATGCTTCAAGTTTGTTAATAGATGTTTTTTCAAAGTCCACGTTTCCATGCCATAAAGCAAGATGAACCACTTGACCATTCTGTAGCGTATTTCGAAGTTTAGGTGTTGATTACATAGGAGCGGTCTGAATTTCACAAAAGCTTGTCTTGCCATTTGTATTCGGGTTTTTATCTCGTGTTGTGGATCCCATTGGTCATTGATTGTGGTGCCAAGGTATTTAAAAGTTTTCACGCGATTTATACGATTGTCACCTATGCATATTATCGGGTTTTCTGGAGGGTTTCTGCTAATGACCATATATTTCGTTTTCAAAATGTTGATTTTGAGGCCATATTTTTTACCTATACTATTCACCCTATCAAGTAATAACTGCTGATCTTCCAAATTATCAGTTATAATCACTGTGTCGTCCGCATAGCGTAGGTTGCTAATTGGTATGCCGTTCACCTTAATGCCTAATTCCGCATCTTCTAATGCTTCCGCAAATATATTGTTAACATATAAATTAAAAAGCATCGGAGAGAGTATGCAGCCTTGGCGGACACCTTTCCAGATTTCAAATTCATCCGTATATTGGTCTTGATCAATCCTCACCTTTGCCATTTGGTTCCAGTATAGATTCTGAATAATTCTGATCTCCTTCTGGTCAATGTTGGCCCTATGTAGTAGTTCCATCATGATATCATGTTTAACATTGTCAAATGCCTTCTCGTAGTCGATGAAGGTGAGGTAGACATCTTTTCGTTGATCTAAGCAGTTTTGTATTAAAGTGTTCAAACATAAAATTGCCTTTCTTGTTCCTAGTCCTCCCTTAAAACCGAATTGTGTTGACCCGCTAAGTTCTTCTAGTATCTTGTACATTCTTGAGTGTAATATCCTAAGGAAGAGATTCAACAAGTGACTCATTAAACTGATTAAGCGGTGTTCATTGCATTTTGTGGCATTAGCTGTTTTTGGGATCATCACAAAGGATGACTGCAGCCATTCTCGCGGAATGCAACCAGTATCATAAATTCTATTGAACAGCCTTACCAAGATTTCGATATTCTCCTCGTCTAGTAGTTTTATTGCTTCTATATTAATTTCATCTGGACCTGTTGCTGGATGCATCTTTCTGGTTCTAACTGCATATTCTATTTCACTTCGCATTATTGATGGCCCTGATAAGTTTTCGGAAGGAAGTTTGCGTGATGGTTGTGTTGGTCTTTCGTCATTAAAAAGGCTTTCTGCGTATTCTTTCCACGCCATTGCTATCTCTTCTTCTGACTCTATGTATTCGTTTCTGTCGTTGCGTATTCTTGTTCTGTGGTGGCTTTTGTGTATATTCGATATTTCTTAGATCTTCTTATGTAGTCCAAAACTATCTCCTTTTTCCTGCAATTGTTCTATTTCGTTGTACCTTTTCACCATCCAACGTTCTTTTGCTTTCTTAATTTTCTGACCGATTTCTTTGTGTATCTGTTTGTATTTGTCTTGATTACGTTGTTGTTTATGTTGCCTTCGCTTTTCCATTAGATCCATAATTTCGTCCGTCATCCATTCGTTATGCTTTCTCTTTCTGATGTGTGTTTTAACTTCCCTGTTTACTACCAGAATCGTTCCTTTAATATCATTGACCATCTCTTCGATATCATCATTTTGTTCTATTACTCGCATTCTTTCATTAATTTGATTCGCATAACTCTTCTTCAGATTTTCGTCTCTCATCAGTTCTCTTGTATTTATAGGTGTGCTGGTATTTGTATTTGTTCTCTTAATTTTTGCTAGTTTTAACCTCACATCTGCTATTAGCGATGCAATAGGATGCAATATCAGCACCTGGATATGCTGCGATTCTTTTGATAGCGTTACGAAATCTTCTATTAAAACGTAGTCAATTTGGTTTCTAATTATTCGATTTGGACGGTCTCCTGGTGATCTCCAAGCATATAACTTACGAGGTGGGAGCTGAAACCATGTGTTCATGACGACAAAACCGTTCTCCTGACAGAATTCACACAGCAGGTTGCCTCTTTCATTTCTAACTCCAAAGCCGTGATGCCATGATGACAGTAAAATTCTCCTGTTACTGATTCTATAGTAAATTATGAGGGAAAAACAAGGAAAAAAACCTCATAAAGTAGGATCGTTTTAGCCTGTCGCATAATTAATGAAAGTGTCTGTTCAGATTTGCCTCTGGTAGTCAGCGGTTCTCTTTATTTATCCTCAAGTACTACAGCCATCGAGCAAAAAGACAAAAGAGGGAATGTAAAGGTAGTGGGAGCAAAATTATTGTTAGACAGGAAGTGCCATCTTGAAAGGCCAAATTAAACAAAGAAAGAGTCTTTCCTTGTTTAAGAAATCAAATTTAGTTGGGTTATGTTATTATTTGTCCCAACTGTCACATGAAATCTTATTTATATTGAAGTTTTTTATCAATTGTTTCACATTCTAGACTGTTATCGTTAATATTTAATTAAAGCTTTCTCGTCTAAGACACATTCTGAAAACTATTTTATAGCTACTATTATTAAGTGTCCGAAAATTTAAATTTGGTGCATTTGCATTTCCGGATATGTCCGCCATCAGAGGCCACTTTTTTGGTCTCCTCTTCATAACGATTAGATTCCCTCTTTTGTCTTTTTGCTCGATGACTACAGGCGACCAGTAGGAGGTTCGGTACCACAAAGCATGTAGAAAAGGGAAAGCATAACAGAGTGGCTGTAACTAGAGTCATAAATTATTTTTCGGGCATTAATCCGAAATACAACAGGGTAAAACGACTTCACTATAATACTGATAATGAATATTATAATGAATCATAATAATATTTTAATGTTTTATAATTAATATTTTAATCATAATGAATAAAACATCCTTATCTAAAAAAACAGTTATCGCCAATTATTGATACAAATAATTTGTTACAGCAAAACTAGTCGATCGCGAGGATTAACGGTTTTAATCGATGCCAGAAAAGGACCTTGGAAAGTTGCAAGGTCATGTATTCGGCAAGTCAATGCAGTCTTCGTACCGGAAGAACTATCAAAGTTGATAGTTCTCAGACCTGACGCTTTTTGGGACAAGCAAAGAGTTGAAAACTGTACTTCCTCATCAAACGATAAACAGGTAAGCATATTAGTTGCAGAAAGTAAAGTTAAACAAAATGTTTCTAACATAATGTTGATTTTGTAAATATTAAGATCATTCAAAAGAGTTTAAGTCTGTTCATGGTATCTTATTTTTAAATCCATGTTTTTACGCTACATATATCGAACTGAGCGCACATATCCTTTAACAAATCAGGATCTTATGTCCAAATCCAACTCATACTGCAGCTAATTTATAATTTAAATAATTAGTAAGGTGATGAATGGTAATCCATTTGCAGATTCCAAAAGTAAATATTAAAAATATAATGAAAAAGAAAAGGAAGTTGTACTGAATACGAAAAATACAGAAAAACTAGATTATTCTACCTCGGACACAATATTAAGGTCTAAAAGTGTTAACTACACTGCTATATATATTTTCAAATATAAATAATTAAAAGCAAAAATACATTATTTTTTCTTATCATGCTTAGTTTTTTCTTTAAAAATTTACCGCCGACATTGAACAAAGTTATTGCACTGGTTAAAAAAGACAAAGATTTAGCAAACATGTCACGCACAACAATGTGGAGAATACTCCATGAAATGAAATTTGTTTTTTGCAAACGAGGAGTAAAGTCAAACATGATTGAACGGTCCGATATTCTAAAATGTAGGCATCAGTATTTGCGTGAAATAAAAAAATTTCGTTCTCAAGGATACACCGTCGTTTATTTGGACGAAACTTGGGTGAATGTTAGACATAGTGTTTCCAAAGAATGGAAGGACCTCTCAGTGACGTCAACCAGGGATGCGTTTGTTAAGGGGTTGTCAACAGGCCTAAAACAACCGACACAACGAGGCCCCCGATTTGTTATAGTGCATGCAGGTAGCAAATTGGGCTTTGTAGAAGATGCTGCTTTTTGGTTTTTAGCTAAAAAACTCAGCGGACTATCATGATGAGATGGATGGTCCTATATTTGAACAATGGTTTAAGGAAAAGCTGCTTCCAAATCTTCCAGAAAAAACTGTTGTGGTGCTGGACAACGCTTCGTACCATTCGAGGAGAGAAGTGATTCTGACACAAGCCTTCAATAAAGATCAAATTAAGATGTGGTTGCTGGAGGAAGATATCTTTTTTAAAGAAGATTATTTAAAATCACAGCTCATGGAAGTCGTAAACACATACAAAAAAAAATAAATAAAATATAAAATCGACGAGATGTGCAAAGAGAAAAATGTTGCCATTCTGAGACTACCTCCATACTATTGTGAGTTAAATCCAATTGAAATGGTACGGAGTCTAGTCAAAAGACACATTGCCTCACACAACACAAAGTTTAAGGCCGCCGCTATGGAACAATTAATAAGAAATGCATTTGGTGTAGTAACAGTGGAAAACTGGAAAAACTATTGTAAACTTGCTATTAAGGAAGAGCAAAAATTTTGGGTTATTGATGGGTTGATGGACGATATTGATCCTGTGTTAATAAATGTGATGGTTGACAGTGACAGTAGTGAAAGTGATAGCGATGATAGAGAAGATGAGGATGGTGTTAATATGCAGTGAGTAAATTATGTGATAGTGTGCAAATTAAGTGACTAGTGATAAGTGTAGTAGTGTCTGAGGACGCGGGAGACTGAAACCTCGGAAGCCCTGAAGAAGACATCAGAGAGGATGTCGAAAGCTCGGCCTAATGGATATCGGTACACATTAGAAAGTAATCGATATCCTAAAAACTTCAGGACTCTATGGTAAGGATATAAGAGTCATTTCAAATTATATCTCCAACAAAAAGCAACAGTACGATTAGAAAATGAACTATCCGAGATCTTCACAGTCGAAAAAGGAGTTAGACAGGGTTGCATATTGTCACCTGCATTATTTAACATATACTCTGAAAACATCTTGAGACTTGAGAGGTCTTGGACAAATCAGAATATGGGATTGTTGTAAATAGCCAAATTATAAACAACATTAGATATGCAGACTTTATATTATTGAAAAAGCAAGAAGCTCTTTCAAGATTGAGGATTGAGGATAAGAGAGGCCCTGGACGTAGACGTATATACTGGCTGGCCAATCTTAGGAAGTAGATTGGTCTAACGTCAACTGATCTATTTCGAGCTGCTGAGAAGAGAAGAATTTTTAGAAGAAGAGAAAAAGCACATTTAGAAAAGAACAATAATAGCCAAATACGCAAAAAAAATCAATAATATGTACCAGCTTTCAGAACAAACAACAAATATATTAAGAACAACAATAGCCAAAAGAAAAAGCACTTACACAGTGTTGTATACAAACTTAAATGTTGCGACTTTCCAAAAACTTACATCAGTCAAACTGGTAGAACTTTTAACAAACGGATAGCAGAACACAAAAGGGCTTCCAATAACAAAAAAATAGATTCTGTACTTCTAGACCTGGACCATAATCATTCTTTTAATGACCAATTTCAAATATTCACACTCAAAATACAGGCCTTAAGCTATGTTTATTAGAATCTATGGAAATTTACATTAACATAATTAATTAAAAAATACAGATATAATTCTGAATGACCAACTTGAGACAAACAGTTCTCCTCTCTTCAACTTATTCACTTGAAGACTAAAGTGTAAACGCATACCAAAAATAGATCACTTGAGATTTGAGAAAGGCATTTTATTCCAAACTATTAAAAACAGTATAAAAATTATTAGAGATGCCATTTTAGGAGAAGAAGAAAAACTTATTCAATCGTTGATGTCATACTTTTTAAGCATATTGTTGATGATTACGACTTTGCTAGTGTTCGGAATGAATGCATAGTTTAAGAAGAAAGGAAATACCGGTATATGTAACTTATTTATAAATAAACACACATTGTGCCAATTAAAATCAGGAATAACAATAAGCGACATGTAGTGAACTATCATTGCGTTGTAAATCTATATTTTGTATCAAATTACTCGTACTCGTTACTTTTATTCTTGATTAAATTCCGTATAGCTTATATTACAGATGTCAATGCTTGCAAAATACGTTTTGTTTTGTTTTTATTACAATAATTATATTTAAAGACTGTGATCTCTTATAAAGTAGTGATTTATAAATCTTTATTTTATCTAAATCGTATAATTACAGTAACGATTTTACCACACTGGATTGTTTTCAGTTCAGTGAATTCATTTAAAATAATCAATTATCTCAGTTTTATATTTTAGTGAGTTTGGGTTTTGTCCCACTTTTCATCAATTTACCTTTATCTAGCTTCCTTAATCCTTTTGGTGTCAGTGGTAGCTTTATTTACCACTGTCGTTAAATGTTATTTTGTTAACCTATAGCAAGTACTATCCGTAATCACAAACAGTAAGGTTGCGATCTTTCGTGAAATTAGACACCACAAACTGGCGCATGGCTACACCAATCGGAAGGTTATTAAGTGGTAAAGATAGCTACCAGTGAGCATTTGTGTAGAGTACTTTACCGGTGCTATTATAGCAGTTTATTCTAGTTTTTATTAGTTTATAGATTGAAATATGAAATAATAAAAAGTTTAGTGATGAAACATATATAAAACATAACATAATAAAGAGTATAGAAGAATATTAATGAAAGTTATTTCAATCTATTCAACCAACACATCTAATCTATTTCATTCCAATTAACGAAAATACGAAAAGATTATCGCAATCGCTTCTCACTACAGAATAACTGAAAGAGTTTGCAAATAAAGGCAAGGATGTTACCTATGATAATAATTATTGCCTGTCGAACTATGTACGTGAATCTGATACAGAAGACAATATTTACTTGTACCCTGTTTGGCTAAGTGTATCACTGGGTCTAATTCAAGCATAACTATTGCTTTTAGTTAATTTTCCCCGATTTTCCAGAAAGCGATGACGAAGATTTTGACAATTCAATTTTAGATCCAGATAATTCTGACGGAGAGATTTGTACGAAGTAATACAAAAACCTACATATACTTATCTGACAGTAACCTTGACCAAGAAGTATATAATAAGAAGGACCATGTAGATGTTTCATGTTCCAAAAAAATGGTAATTTAAGTGGTCCAAAATGACTATCAAAGGCACGTACCGTAGATGTGCTAACTGCAGTTCTGTTCAAATAGCACCAGTCTCAATTTCCAAAATCATTGTTATAACGCAAAGAAAATTAACAAAAAATGTGTTCAAGGGGAAAATACATAGCCTCCTTATGTGCAACAAATGAAAGTTCAGTAAACATTCTTCTTACGGTGCCTTATCCTTAAGGACGTTGGCCATTACATTTGCCCATTTAATCTTATTTGTAGCAGCCCTGAATAGTTCTATGGAGGTCATGTTCGTCCATTGCCGTAGGTTTTTAAGCCAAGAGTTGCGTCTTCTTCCTGGTCCTCTTTTGCTATTGACTTTGCCTTCGATTATAAGTTGGAGCAGTTCATACTTTTGATTTCTTATGATGTGACCAAAATATTGTGTTTTCCTTCTTCTTCCGTTCTTTTATTATAAGCATAAGCTCTCTTTCCTTATTCATCCTCCGCAAAACTTCCGCATTTGTCGTATGGCTCATGCAGGATATTCTGAGCATTTTACGGTAACACCAGAGTTCGAATGCTTGGATTCTTTTTTGTGTTGCTTCTGTCATTGTCCAGGCTTCAACACCATAGAACAAGGTGGAGAAAACATAGCACTTATGTATTCTAGTTCTCAATGAGATGCCCAGCTGGCGGTTGCATAGAACTTTTTGCATTTTGTAAAACATTGTACGTGCCTTTTCCAGGCGTATTCTTATCTCTAGTGAGTGGTCCCAAGTTTCATCAAGATTACTTCCAAGGTACGTTGTTCTTGTTACTCTTTCCAGATCTGTTCCGTCGACATTGACCTTCACCCTTCTGTTTTGGTGCTTGCTGATGACCATCGTTTTTGTCTTCTTTGTATTCAATTTCATTCCAAATTCTCTACAGGCTGTCGTTAGTCGGTCCATTAAGCGTTGCAGGGCTTCAGCATTATCTGCCAGTATGGCAGTGTCATCAGCATATCGCAGGTTATTAATACATTGCCCGTTTTTAATTATACCATCCGAGGTGCCTTCCAAAGCTTTCTGAAATATCTTCTCAGAGTAAACATTGAACAGCAAAGGTGATAGGACACATCCCTGTCTTACTCCCTTCTCAATATTGATTTTTCCAGATATTTCGCTTTTTATTCTGATTTTAGCCTTTTGTTCTTGGTTCTTCATTTTCTCGAAACTACCTAAACATGGCTTGGTCACTTTTGGCAGTATACCAACGAAATGAGTTCTGCCATTTAAGCAAGCAAGTAATTTAATTAAACCCAGCCTGTGAGACATGTTTATCCCTTAGAATTCGGCCACTTAATATAATAATATTCTCCCTTTATACCTCTATCGCGGCTTCTATCCTCTGTTCATCCAAGTCTCTTTCTCTCTGTCGCACATTTTTTCTCTCTAGTATTTTTTATTTATTTACATCCTGATTTATTATTTTGACTTAATTTTTGTAGCTGCATTTGGTCAGATATTGCAGCTGTTTATTCAGGTGTGCTTTAACAATTTCATAAATTTCTTGTGATTATCATTTCCTTATTATAATTTTTTTGTAGCAACCTAATTATGACCTTTCTATTTATTTAATAATATTTGCGATTTTATTAAAATAACTTCTCAGTTATCAACGTATTAATTCAACATATTAGTCTTTATAGCGTTTAAATGAGTAGATTATCAAGACCCGCTTTGTAAACGAAGAATGGAATGCCAAAAATTACACATCGACCTCCTCTGATTCCGGTAAATGTAAAAAGAGGTTTGCAATTAATTAAACGTTTTTTCAGGTCACATTTATACCGAGATCCCGCTTGAACAAGTTCGTGGATTTATCTCAGCTTCCTGTTGAACTTGGAGGCCACTTCATATACAACCACGAGAAATGGATAGAAAACAGACAGGTATGGACTATTATTTACTAAATTTTAATTTCTAAATTCTCATTTAAAAATCGTTTAAATGCCACAGTTAGTACCAGTTACACGCTGAACTTGGTTAGATATAATATACAAGTTGTATTATTTCAGAGTAACAAAATAAACTTATATATTTCATGAAATGAGGTTCAATGCTCGAATAAATGAACTTTGAAAATAAGGCTATTATCGAGCACAAGTTAATTAAATCTAACCCAAGTACTTTCGCTTAAAATAGCATCTTCAGGGGCATTTCGTCAAAATGTAAACTATCCGGCAAGCCTAGAATGTGGAAACGTTAAAAATAACATAAAATTGTACAAAACACTACACTAAAACGAGGACAAACAGTTTAAAATTACTTAAAGATTCTACGCTACATTCTCTGTCAGTATCTGGAGGGATAATGTCCCTCCAGATATCTCTCCAGAGAATGTAGCGTAGAATCTTTAAGTAATTTTAAACTGTTTGTCCTCGTTTTAGTGTAGTGTTTTGTACAATTTTATGTTATTTTTAATGTTTCCACATTCTACGCTTGCCGGATAGTTTACATTTTGACGAAATGCCCCTGAAGATGCTATTTTAAGTGAAAGTACTTGGGCTATATATTTCAAGCAATATACTGTATTGCTTATTTCGTTTTTAAACTGTCTGGTTCTCTTGTTTCGAGATAGGCTCCCAATATACTATTTTACGATTTACTGTTTGTTAGGAAATATTTGTGGAGTTTTAAATATAAGCAAATAAATATATAATTTTATGTAAATACTCAAAGTAAGTAATCAAATCACATGTTTTTAGATTGACAGTCAACATGTTATCTCCTTTTGTTCATTGTATTAAAATGGGATTACTTACTTTCAGGTTTCACTGATGATGGTCTGATAGGACCAAAACGTTTTGAGAATTGTGTGGTGTCAGGTAAAATGTAAAATTTGCTTTTAAGTACTAAATCTTTGACTATATATTTAATATTTATATAATTTCATAATTTCTACTGACTCTACAGAGTTGAGCAAGAGGTCTTTCTATTGTTTATTTGACATTAAACTGAATCACGCAATAGTTTTGATGTTATTTCCAAGTTTATTTATAATTAAGGGACTATTATTGTCTGAAATGCTAAAAAAATGACATATTTTTAGTAATTTTTGTGTATGTTATCTATTATACCATGCGGTTCATATGTATGGAATAAATTCATTTTTAGCGTTATTATTTAAGCATTATTTAAGTGGTAGGTTAGCCTATTTGACTTTATCACTACCGGTCAAAGCAATTGTTCGGCGATCTAATGATGGTTGTGTGTACTGATACTTGCTTTACTTTTTTTTGGACCAAGTGAAATCGAGAGCGAGCAAGCATCGAATCCTTTCATCCGTCGTCTAATGCCCAGTCATTCGTCCAGTCATGTCCTTAATCTACCTTACTTGCTAATCTATTTTTTTTTGTGCTTGCATGCAAGAGCGTCGTGCGGCGTGCCTCCGGCTCTCTCCTGCATGCTTTTTTTGTCTTATTTTTTTTTTTGGTGGTTAGTACCCTTTTGCGTTGATTTTTCTATCTACGTCTTAATCTATGGACAGGTATCATCACTATCTGTCTCGCTATCCGATTCATCTGAATCTTTATCTGTACGAATAATTAAAGGTCTTACTTTATCAATAACTTATTTAATAATTCAGCTTTTAAAACTAGATGTTCGTGTTCTATATTTTTCTCCGACAGCCACTTTCTTAAGTCTTTTTTTTTTCAGCTGCTTGTGGGAAACTTTTCCTCCTCTCTGGTGTGATACGAAGCATTGTCTAAAACTATTAATGACGGATTTTCCAGATTTTTTAATAATTTTTCCTCAAACCAATGTTCAAAAATATCGGCGTCCATATTTCTGTGGTAATATGGACGTATTAGTACTTGAATAGCATTTGGTAGAATAATCTAAACACAAATTGTCTGGCAAATTCGGAATTCTTGTTTTTTAAATAGTTTTTTATAAATTTTCACCTTTTTCCATCAACATTGGACAGTTCGCACAACACTTTACGATTATTGGTTTTTTTGTATCTAAAACCCATAGCTTTTAATACTTTTGATAAACTGGTCAAACCCATATCACAAAGTTCTCTGTCCTTTATTTTTTGAATAAGTGTTTTTCTTGTAACGTGTTCTTTTGCTTTGTACATGTCATAAATAATAGTTCTGATTGAGATTTTATTACCTTGTGGTAAGACAAGGGTTTTCGGATGCAAGCGAATCCTTTTATTTTCCTTACATAATTGCTCCTCACTTATATTTTGCGAATTCTTTGCAAGGTCCGTTCTGAATTTCCACAAGCTAGACTTGTTCTTGTTTTGCTGCCAGTACTGATGTAATTGGTTGCATGTTGATTTTTTCTAAAGTAAAATAATTTTCCACTTTCAACACAATTCGACCCTCACTCGGAGATAAAAACTTATATTTAGGTGTTCTATCGTTTTCCTGTACGTTATCTATTGTCACTATTGAAAACCGGCGATCTTTGAATCTCTCTCTTCAATCCTGACCCCCCAGGGGGAGTCTAGTGGTCGACGTGATGTCGTGTATTGTCTGTCTCCAGAGATCTCTGTCTCAGGTCATTTCTTTTAATTCATGCATAGGTCTTTGGCATATTCCTGTAATTTGATCTATCCATCTTGTTGGGGATCTTCCTCGTGATCTTCGGCCTTCTACCTTTCCTTGTATTATGAGTCTTTCCATGTTTTCTGTGTTTGCTCTCATAACATGCCCAAAATATTTTAATTGTTGGAGATGGCCTTTACTAGAGAGTCGTTGGCTAACTTTTAGCTGTCTTAAAATTGAATTATTTGTTCTACGGTCGGTCCAAGGAATTCGTAACATTCGCCTCCAACAGAACATTTCAGTGGCGTCTATCTTTCTTCTCTCCGATTGTCTCAGAGTCCAAGATTCACATCCGTAGGTCAGTATTGGGAATATTAAGCAGTTG